ATATTGAGCCCGAGGGGCTGGCACTGTTCTGATATTGAGCCCGAGGGGCTGGTTCTGTTGATATTATGCCCGAGGGGCGGTTTGTTGTACATGTTTTGCCCGAGGGGCTATTTACATTTCTATTATTTTTGTTACTCACTTGTAAACTACTTGCTTTACTTGTTGAAAAAAAGGGATTTTCATTTGATTTCTCACTGCTTTACTGTTTAAAGTGATTTTATTTCTTCAGTATGGAATACCTTGTGTTTTTGGGTGATTTCATGCCTTCAGTCTTTATTTATTATTATTACTCACTGAGTCGGAGTACTCACATTACTCCCTGCACCTTGTGTGCAGATTCAGGTATGTTTTGACTGATCGGAGGCAAAGTCATCAGGGTTTAGCAAGGTAGATGCCGGCGTTCGCAGCACTGCTTTTCTCTCTCCTCATTTCATTAGTCTGTATTTGTACACTCCAAGCTTTTAGTTGTATTTATACCCTAGTAGATGCTCGTGACTTGTGACACCCTGGTTAGGGCTGTGTCGGGTTGTGCTTCTGTTAATTATATCATTAAATCATATTTAAACTGTTTATTAATGTTTAACTATTTTTGAAAAGGCGATATGGGTTTGTTGGATGGCCTTGTCTTCACGAGAGACGCCATCACGACCGGAGCGGGGTTTGGGTCGTGACAAAGGTCTACTTTTATCCAAACATGACCACCTCCAAATAGAAGCCTTTACATACGCGGATTGGGCTGAATCTCTAGATGACAGAAGATTAATATCCGGTTACTGTACGCTCGCAGGAGGAAACTTGGTTACTTGGAGAAGCAAGACGCAAAGTGTAGTTGCTAGATCAAGTGCGGAGGCAGAATATAGAGCTATGGCCTAGGGTGTTTGCGAACTGCTTTGGCTACAAAAGCTACTACAGGAATTAAGACTATATGAAAAAGAAAAACTTTCCTTGTACTGTGACAATAAAGCTGCCATTAGTATAGCTCATAATCCAGTCCAGCATGACCGAACCAAGCATGTGAAAATTGATCGACACTTCTGTAGGCATATAAATTTTATTGAAATTAAATCCGTAAAATAATTGAGATTATATTTTAAAATTCAAGATATATAAGGTCAAATAAATTTATTGGGCTAATATAATTGGATTAATTATAAGCCCAATATATGTGGATTAAATAAATAAGCTTTAATCCATTGGGCTAGTCTATTTAGTTGGGCTACAAATGATGAGCTCACTTCATTAGGCCCAATATGCCATCTTCATATAGGCCTAGTTTGGTGCCACATGTCAAATGATGTGGCACGCCAAGTCAAGCGGAAGAGCCAATAGGATCATGCCACGTGTCAAAATGACAAGGCATACCAAGTCACATTAAAAGGCTAATGAAAGCGCACCACGTGTGCAAGTGACATGTTCTAGCCAATCAAATGCGGCCTCGTCATACTTCGATTTGATTGGTAGGAAAGAGTTTGTTCTTATCATAACTCTTCCATCCCACAACTATAAATAGGGGATTTTATAACTCAGAAAGTCACCAGAAGTTATAACAAGAAGCAAGAAAGAGCTCGTGGATTAAACACCGAAAATTCTCCACAAGTTTCAAGCTTCAAGAAATCAAGTTCAAGCTCAAGAACGAAGAACAAATCAAGTTCAAGCTCAAGAACGAAGAACAAATCAAGTTCAAGCTCAAGAACGATGAACAAATCAAGGTTCAAGGAGTGCGAGTTCAAATCAAAGTTCGTGCTAGTTGAATTCAAGATCATCGTTCGTGGCAACAAATATATATTCAAGATCAAGCTCGAAAGCCCTTGAATTTATTTACTATTGGAAAGAAGAATCAGAGGATTCATAGAGATTGTAACACTTAAATATTTAAAATAAAATACTACGATTGTTGAGATATTTTTCGATATTGATTTTATTTTCTCGACGCAAATTTATTGTCTACAACTTCATCAAAGAAAAAGTTACAACTGGTGTCTTGAGCTTGTTTCGTGTGCCATCGGAAAAACAGCTAGCTGATGTATTTACCAAAGGTCTCAACAAGCGAACTTTCCATACTTTGAGTTGCAAGTTGGGCATGTGCGACATCTTTGCACCAACTTGAGGGGGAGTATTGAATAGCATGATTCAAGGAGACTTGATTTAGGAGTGTTGATTAGCATGATTTCAGGAGATTTGATTTAATTTTATTCTGATTTGATTTGATAGCTGGATTGATTGTATAGATTTATTTTATTTCCTTAATTAGCATTAGGAACTTTGTATAAATTCCCTTGCTCATGGGATATAAACATACAGAAATACAAGAAGCATTTTCTTCTTCTCGAAATCTACAAGGACAAACAACCATAACATCATTGAGTGCAATGAAAGAAAAGCAGCGTCAAACCAGAACAGATAACAAAATTATGAATCAGTTCTAGAACCCTATATATAGGAAATCAAATACTACTGGCATTAAAAGTAAGAAAGTGAATGGATAATTGTCCTATCTCATGTGCTTTTACTTCTTCACTCATCTCCAAAAATAGCTCTAAGGCCTTAATTGCTAGAGCATTCCCAGAATACCCATCAATTATAGCCTTAATTGCTAGAGCATTCCCAGAATACCTATCAATTGTAGCTGCATAGGCTATCACCAAGACTTTATGGTTCATCTTCATCTTTCACCTTTTAGCATTAATTAACAATGTAATTGACAATATTAACCTTAATTTGTTTATTGATAATACAACAAATACTCCTAGGCTCTTTACTCCAAGGGCAGCTTTGGAATTCTTTCTTGATATTTAAAAATCAAATATTGTAGACCACAAAAAAAAAAGACCAAAAAATCACTTAAAAGTGGACTGGAGGGAGTATTTAAAAACTACATTTACGTAAATTTAGTGAGCATTTCATCAGATTAAATACATTTTTGCATTCATGGAAATGGTCTCAACTACACTATGAAAAGGACCATAATTTCTTGAAATGGTCTAGAATCTATGTTAGTATAGGAGAGAAGATGTTCACAGCATGGTCTTACATCCAGGGCTCGCATTTTGCCTGAATTTGAATGACGTCCGAGTTTCATGCTGATTCCTAGCTAAGATTTTGTCAGACGTGACAACCAATTCACTGAATCGTAATTTTTGTTGATGAATACGATATCAAGCAACGAGATCTAGTCATTAGATGCATTTTGATGTTTCACATTTCCATATAGCATATGCCAATGCTTGCAGCAAATTCCTAGTTAATTTTGTTTATAGCAAACATCTCTATTTGCATTTTTCTTAGCGTCATCGGCATTTAGTATTTTCCAGTCCGCTTGGAACACTCGTACTGATAAATACCTAGATCAAAGCGGGGAGATAAATTGTGTATCACCTTAATTATTGACCCCAAAAAGCTTTAGTTGTAGCCTGTAATTAAGGCCATCAAAATACATCCAACTGCTAACTACCCAACTTCTCTGCCACGCAATGCAATTTGAACTTGTCAATTGTCAGCCTTTTGAATTTAATGAGTCTATCACATCCTCTATATATGATCATTTATTCGTTTTGATACGTAAAAAGCCTTGCATTCAATTCCATTCCTACTCTTGCAATTCCTGTTTTCAGTTCATCACTAACAAAAGGGGTCATGACCACCCCTACATGAAGCAGAGCAATAATTTACTACTTTGACCAATTAAATCAAGGCCTCTGTTTCTCCCCCCCTCCCCT